GTGAGCGCCATCACCCGCACGGTACCCGCGTATGGGTGTGCCAAAATTTTTTTCGGGTAAGTTCATAACTCGGGAATCTGAGAAGCTAGAACGCTGAAATCTTAGGGGGTGTTCCTCTGTCCAAGTGGGTATTAATGAGTTCAGACCCTGCCCACGGGTAAGCGTGGTACCTACGTACGGACCCGTGAAAGTTTCTTCCAGGTAAGTTGCTAACTCGAGAATGTGAGAAGCTAGAAGACTGGAATTTTGAAGGGATGTTTCCTTACAGTACTGGCGGCCAGTCTAAAATTCTTTCAGCTAGAAGCATCTGCCGGAAAAACGAGTGCCGTTAGCAACAAAAATCTGCGGGGAGCTATGCAAAAAACGCTTCTTCGCACGGGCAGCCCCTGCGTTGGCCAATTATTTTAAACTTGCCGCGTCACCCATTGGCGGGGAACACTATACTATAATTTCGGCCGCCTAGCTTTTGTGGTTCCCGAGTTGAAAGTGCGGGAGAAAATGTGGGACACACACACACAAACACATACACGTTTTGTACTGCTGTTACGTTACACAGCACAAAACGCATAAAAAGCAGCTCGCAAGACTAAGGCACAAGCTCAGTCCTGGAAGTTCTGGCCTCGAAAAGCAGCTTCCAGATCTAATTTTATGTCAATCTTCAGGTTCAGGTCAAAATTAGGTACTGCATCATTCATTAAGGAGTGATATCCAACACCATCCCCGAACAAACAGTGCATACCAGCTGGAGGTATGGAGCCCAGGATCGAAGGACCTGGCATAGATGCGATTGGTGTGTAAGAACATTCCAGTAACATCACTAGCAGGGGACACCCACAGTGACAGGGACGGGCACTCTTGTTATTTTTGGTATATTATGCGTTTTTGCACATATGCAGATTGCAAGAACGCATAATGGGAAGAGGCTGTCTGTGTGTGTCTGTGTTTTCGCACTTTTTGTCACCCACTTTCAACTTGAGAACCAGAAAAACTAGAAGGCTAGAACTTTAGGAGTATGTGCCCATCCCTTGCGCCACCTCCCGTTTTAATATCCCCCCCCCCCTTTCCTCGTGAACGCCTGGGCGCCGCGTACGGACGCTTTAAAAAATATACAAATTTTTGGCGGGAAGACGATCTCGGGAACCGAACAAGGTAAGGGGCTGAAAAAAAAAATGTGTAGGGATATTCCCTGTGCGCGTGTTAGCTGAAGATTTCAAATTTAGCTTCCAGGTATGTGTAGTACTCACGTAAGGGCATATGAAGGTTTTGGCGGAAAAATTGCTAACTCGGAAACCTGGAAAGCTAGAAAGCTGAAATTTTGGGGGAATACCCTCTAACCAAGTATAATTTAAATATTTCAAATTCAGCCCCCAGTAATGCGTGGTTCTTACGTACGAGCAAGTGAAATATTTGGCAGAAAAATTGTTAACTCGGTAACCAGGAAAGCTGGAAGGCTGAAATTTTAGGGGAATGTTCCCTATCCAAGTACAAAGTTTGTTTTTTTGTCAGCCTTGAGG